GCTCTTTGGCCCCTGTTTTATGAATGGAGTTCCTGTTTACACTCTACCATCCACTGACAGATGTGGTAGTTGCGTTATTTCACTATCGATGCATGGTGTTAATAAACCCCATGTCACTCCAGTTATTTCATCACTGTCTAATAATGACTTGTAGGTAGGAATCAACCTATCCGATGATTTGATGTGTCAATCCATTCCTATACCTTTGACGGGCCTCAACATAAATGTATTTTTAACTACCAAAATTGCGCGAATTAGTTGTCATTCACGTCACATCACACTAGCGTCTATGCGTAGTGATTTCATTAAATTATTGAATCGATATATACACAATTTTTTTGTGAAACGTATCTAAAATGATTATAAACTTGGTTGGAATATCATTTCAGGATCATACTGATATGAAATAAGAAGACTGAAATTTATTACAATTTAGATATATCTTATCCTTCAGGCCGTTACGATGTCTGGTAGGTTTTGAGACATTTTGTGTCCGTGAACCTATATTTAGTCAATGTCTATTTGTCCTTGTTAAGACTAGGCTTCTTTGCTCTGAGTGCAATCTCACACTTTATCAGTAAAGATAGGCCGAGCATTAAATACGTAATAAGATATTTATTTGCAAATTCTTTCAGAATTCATGTGAAAATGTAATGTATGTTATTTAATCGGTTGTCGAATGAGGCTATTTCAAAGATAAACTTATCTGCAAGAGTATATTTTAATGTCTTGACATATTAACGACACATGGTATATAACTGTTTATTTCACTGTTACATATTGGGTCAGCACATATTTTGATAGCATGCACAACTGATCCCTTGTTACCTAAATATGAGTATTATTTTTTAGGCGCTTGTTGCAAAAAAGTCACTATATGTCTCATTATGAAAAGTTTATGTTGATAACATCACAAAAATGTGTTCCATTATGCCCGTGTTTATGCAACGTGCGTTGAATTGGCCAAGCAGGGCGATTGCTTACAGGATCGGAAATCAAAGACTTTAAGAAGTCTTCTTTTTTGAAATTCATTGAAATGCAAAGTGATTACATGACAGCTACCAGAATTTTTCCAATATACCACATGCTTTTAAGTATACCAGTGATAAGATGTGTAGCTCGTGTATGAAGCCAACTTATCAAAATTGTATTAAATTTGCGCCATTATCCCGTGCATACAAAACGTGCGATGAATCGGGCAAAAGAGCAATGGTTTAATTTCAGGGGCAAAAACTAAATAAACTCAAATGATTCAAATAATCTTTAATTTGAAATACATTGAAATACAAAGCGATGGCATACAAAGCTACAATAATTTGCTCAACACATACTTTAAAACAACAGTGGTAAAAAGGCGCTGTTGGCGTTTGCAGGCAACATATGAAACCAAGGCCACGGACTTGGACCGGTTTTCAGCTGAATTTTGCCTATAAATGGGATGGCGCTGGACTGCTATGATTGGAAGCATTGCAGTCCTTTGGTGTATTTTATGCTCCATATTTTTGGCTATATTAAAATTATGAAATCGTTTTGTTGTAAATATGTTTGTACAACATGGTGGACATTGTTGTTACCATGTCTGCCATGTTATTCTTCGTTTACTAGAATTACATCACTGGGTATATTTCTTTCTTTGTTGTTGTTGATATATAATATACCCCAAAAACATAGCTCAAGTCGTGACTCAATTATCGGGATGGAAAATATGAATAGATGTGCAATAACTCCCAGTTTTACACAAGGCAAATACTTACTACGTTCGGAAATATCAGTATATGTGTTGAAGCTCGATAAACATACGGAAGTTACTGGAAAAGATGAACGCTTAATGTTAAATCTGTGTAAATTGCTATTTATATATATATCTCTATCGTTGATGGTCAATTTTAAAGAGGTTTTTAAATATTTTGTTTTAATTTTAAGAGTATGTATATATATCTTGAAAGTATGGCCCGTGTGAATGAGTGTAGAGAATGAGAACCCTCGTGTGACAGTGTGAATGATGAGTGTGGAGAATGAGAGCCCTCCTGTGATAGTGTGAATGATGTGTGTGGAGAATGAGAACCCTCCTGTGACAGTGTGAATGATGAGTGTGGAGAATGAGAGCCCTCCTGTGACAGTGTGAATGATGTGTGTGGAGAATGAGAGCCCTCCTGTGACAGTGAGAATGATGTGTGTGGAGAATGAGAATCCTCCTGTGACCGTGTGAATGATGTGTGTGGAGAATGAGAGCCCTGCTGTGACAGTGAGAATGATGTGTGTGGAGAATGAGAGCCCTCCTGTGACCGTGTGAATGATGTGTGTGGAGAATGAGAGCCCTCCTGTGACAGTGAGAATGATGTGTGTGGAGAATGAGAGCCCTCCTGTGACCGTGTGAATGATGTGTGTGGAGAATGAGAGCCCTCCTGTGACAGTGAGAATGATGTGTGTGGAGAATGAGAGCCCTCCTGTGACAGTGAGAATGATGAGTGTGGAGAATGAGAGCCCTCCTGTGACAGTGAGAAGGATGTGTGTGGAGAATGAGAGTCCTCCTGTGACAGTATGAATGATGTGTGTGGAGAATGAGAGCCCTCCTGTGACAGTATAAATGATGAGTGTGGAGAATGAGAGCCCTCCTCTGACAGTATGAATGATGAGTGTGGAGAATGAGAGCCCTCCTGTGATAGTATAAATGATGAGTGTGGAGAATGAGAATCCTCCTGTGACAGTATGAATGATGAGTGTGGAGAATGAGAGCCCTCCTGTGATAGTATAAATGATGTGTGTGGAGAATGAGAGCCCTCCTGTGAGAGTGAGAATGATGAGTGTGGAGAATGAGAGCCCTCCTGTGACAGTGAGAATGATGTGTGTGGAGAATGAGAGCCCTCCTGTGACAGTGTGAATGATGTGTGTGGAGAATGAGAGCCCTCCTGTGACAGTGAGAATGATGTGTGTGGAGAATGAGAGCCCTCCTGTGACAGTGTGAATGATGTGTGTGAAGAATGAGAGCCCTCCTCTGACAGTGTGAATGATGTGTGTGAAGAATGAGAGCCCTCCTGTGACAGTGAGAAGGATGAGTGTGGAGAATGAGAGCCCTCCTGTGACAGTGTGAATGATGTGTGCGGAGAATGAGAGCCCTCCTGTGACAGTGTGTGATGTGTGTGAAGAATGAGAGCCCTCCTCTGACAGTGTGAATGATGTGTGTGAAGAATGAGAGCCCTCCTGTGACAGTGAGAAGGATGAGTGTGGAGAATGAGAGCCCTCCTGTGACAGTGTGAATGATGTGTGTGTGGAGAATGAGAGCCCTCCTGTGACAGTGTGAATGATGTGTGTGGAGAATGAGAGCCCTCCTGTGACAGTGAGAATGATGTGTGTGGAGAATGAGAGCCCTCCTGTGACAGTGTGAATGATGAGTGTGGAGAATGAGCGCTCACCTGGGACAGTGTGAATCATGGGTGTGAAGAATGAGAGCCCTCCTGTGACAGTGAGAAGGATGAGTGTGGAGAATGAGAGCCCTCCTGTGACAGTGTGAATGATGTGTGTGAAGAATGAGAGCCCTCCTCTGACAGTATAAATGATGAGTGTGGAGAATGAGAGCCCTCCTGTGACAGTGAGAAGGATGTGTGTGAAGAATGAGAGCCCTCCTCTGACAGTGTGAATGATGTGTGTGGAGAATGAGAGCCCTCCTGTGACAGTGAGAATGATGTGTGTGTGGAGAATGAGAGCCCTCCTGTGACAGTGAGAATGATGTGTGTGGAGAATGAGAGCCCTCCTGTGACAGTGAGAATGATGTGTGTGGAGAATGAGAGCCCTCCTGTGACAGTGAGAATGATGTGTGTGTGGAGAATGAGAGCCCTCCTGTGACAGTGAGAAGGATGTGTGTGGAGAATGAGAGCCCTCCTGTGAGAGTGAGAATGATGACTGTGGAGAATGAGAGCCCTCCTGTGACAGTGTGAATGATGAGTGTGGAGAATGAGAGCCCTCCTGTGACAGTATAAATGAAATGGCTTACAATAGTTTCATTTACATTTCTGTAAGTGTATATTCATAACTCTTCCCTAAAGCTGTAAACATATATATATATATATATATATCTTGGAAATGTTGCTAATAAAATAAACATGCGCTGAAGTTAAAGCGAAGTCTTGATGATCTCCTGTCACACAAGTTTTAAAACATACCCATTGATATTTCACCAAACTGGGCCCCGACACCCTGCCTCCACTGTTTATACAAAACTGAAATCTCTATCACTCAAGAATGCCCCAGACTTACTTTACACAGTCCATGATTAGTAACGATTTAAAAAAAAATGTTGACGAACGCCTCGATGTAATATTACTCCATCGGTGATCAGGTAAACTACAAAAGTTGTGGATCTTCAGTACGAAAAAAATCAGATATAGTCAAAACTCCAACAAGAAATAAACTTTAAACTATATACATTGTATGTCATATCTGTACCCAGAATGTGCGTTTTCTCCAAGAATTTTTTCATGATTGTTTTGTGTATGAATGATTGAAAATATTAGAAAAACCAGTGTATTGAATGTTGTAAGTTCTACTTGAAAGGCTTTATTAGTGCTCGCGTTTGCAAACGATATAAAAGAAATGTAGTGTAATACAGTATTATACAGTCCTGTTTAACGAGAGCTGCGATTATTCTTTAATTGTGTACATGAAAAGACAAAATCCGAAGTCAGGTTATCATTCAGATATTGAGCTGTCGTATTCACAAAACTTGATTCTATAGAACGTAACAGACGACACGATCCATGTATTCCGAAGACAGCTCCCAGAGTTTGTATACAATATAGGAATTTCGTCTGTGTAATTAGTTATCAAAAATGATTTGTTTAACTCACGAGAAACCCCGAAGTTATTTTTAAATATCACATGACCCGTTAGAATCACGTGAGTATTTTTATCCCTGCGAGCATCTATGTGCAGCTTCAGTAGCCCCGAGCAGACGATACATACCAGCGCGTTACTGATGGAGAAATAACGCGGGGTCAGGCGATGATACGGACTGTCTACAGGATATTTATGTTTGTCACAGTATGCTGTTAGTCACGTTGAATGTTTTGGTATTTTCTGAATCCCTGTATCGGATATAGCATAAATGTGCGCGTTATCATGTAGATGGGGTAACGGTGTGTAGACTACACCCGTAAACTAAAACAACCTGTGTCTAGTGCTATATTCCACGGGAAGTTTTGCATTTTCTCTTATTTCAAACACAAAAAACTAATGATGAAGTGGTTTCCCGTGTGTTTCATTCTAGCGATGGCTTTACCTGGAAACGCCCAGCAGTCCACAGGTAAGTCACCACTATCATCATTAGTATATTGAAACATGTTTTCGTTGTGATGTTGTTCGTTTTTAGGTTGTTATTCTAGAAGTGGTATTGAACGTGCGCGGAGCATCAAGAGTACGTAATATTAAACCATTTCTCAAGTGACCTGAGTGGTTTTACTAATCGTATGTGGCAGTTTTCGAACCTCGGCATAGTTCTGCACACGGTGTTCCAACCACCACACAGACATTAAGTAAGGGGTTCTAGACACTGAAAACAGGACCGGAAAGAATACCTCACCCATTCTAGGTTTTAAAACGCATGGCAGTAGCAAAAAAAAAAACCCTTGAGGATTGTCGTTATGTTGACATAATTTAGAAATATTGATCACCGTATGAAAACACTGAGTTGCTTTCATTATGATAAAATTAATTTTTGAAAATCCGTTAAGAATTATACTTCTGAGTAATGACTTGTGTACTTATAAATTAACGAAATTCCAAAAGAGATTATAACATGGTATGATTTTTGTCCAATACGATTCTCCAGAACAAAGATATGAATTAATTTCAAAGTCTATTTATTTTATCTGATTGCCAATGTAACCAGTGCTAAGGAGATGTTTTATTACGTTTCCGTTAAAGGCAGATTCGTATTTTGAATAAACAAGAAAATTCTTGTCATATGAATTCAGCTGTTATAATGCAGTGAATATCAACCGAAAGTATATTTGTTATAAAAAATCGATTGTGTTCTTATCTTTCCCTGGTGATAGTTCTCCCGACTAGACCCCCTTCAACAGGTGTGCGAACTAAAACATATCGCCAGGAAGTGAGTGGATTTGCAAATTAACATGTTTAGAGCGCTTCAAAGGTGGCCAAAAATAAAGCGAAACATAGGAAAGGAAACATTTGCTTCTCAGCTCTCCAATTAACATGTTAAATCTTAGATACATTTCAAAACATTTTTTTTATTTCCTGGATTTAAAAAATTCGTGCAACATCACTTTGCCTTGCTCTAAACTTAAATATATACATAAATATGTGTATGTGTGTTTGCATCAAGTGTAGCCATTTTAGTTATGCAAAGTGGAATGGCCTGATAAACGAAAGTAGTTTAATTCAAGGACGTGAAACCTAGTTGGTAATAAGTGGTGATTGTTCTGTTGTCGGTATAATAAGACCAGATCAGGTGCGATAGACATCATTTTTGGGATTCTATTACCATTGCATTATGCAATTATGCATTATACTGGGAATATATTCCTTAAATGATCTGAGTTTAAATATCAATGAGACTGATACATTCCTGAAATGATCCGAGTTTTCCTTAAATGATCCTAGTTTATGTATCAACGAGACCTACACATTCCTTAAATGATCTGAGCTTAGGTATCAATGAGACTGATATATTCCTTAAATGATCCTAGCTTAGGTATCAATGAGACATGCACATTCCTTAAATGATCTGAGCTTAGATATCAATGAGACTGATACATTCCTGAAATGATCATAGCTTAGGTATCATCCTAGCTTAGGCATCAAAGAGACTTATATATTTCTTAAATGATCCTAGCATAGGTATCAATGAGACTTACACATTCCTTAAATGATCCTAGCTTAGATATCAATGAGACTTACACATTCCTTAAATGATCATAGCTTAGATATCAATGAGACTTACACATTCCTTAAATGATCATAGCTTTGATATTAATGAGACTTACACATTCCGTAAATGATCCTAGCTTAGGTATCAACGAGACTTACACATTCCTTAAATGATCCTAGCTTAGGTATCAATGAGACTGATACATTCCTGAAATGATCCGAGTTTAGATATCAATGAGACTTACACATTCCTTAAATGATCTGAGCTTAGGTATCAATGAGACTTACACATTCCTTAAATGATCCTAGCTTAGGTATCAACGAGACTTACACATTCCTTAAATGATCCTAGCTTAGGTATCAATGAGACTGATACATTCCTGAAATGATCCGAGTTTAGATATCAATGAGACTTACACATTCCTTAAATGATCTGAGCTTAGGTATCAATGAGACTGATATATTCCTTAAATGATCCTAGCTTAGGTATCAACGAGACTTACACATTCCTTAAATGATCCTAGCTTAGGTATCAACGAGACTTACACATTCCTTAAATGATCCTAGCTTAGGTATCAATGAGACTGATACATTCCTTAAATGATCCTAGCTTTACACATTCCTTAAATGATCATAGCTTAGGTATTAATGAGACTGATATATTCCTTAAATGATCCTAGCTTAGGTATCAATGAGACTTACACATTCCTTAAATGATCCGAGTTTTGGTATCAATGGGACTGATATATTCCTTAAATAATCCTAGCTTAGATATTAATGAGACTTACACATTCCTCAAATGATCCTAGCTTAGGTATCAATGAGACTGATATATTCCTTAAATGATCCAAGTTTAGGTATCAATGAGACTGATATATTCCTTAAATGATCCTAGCTTAGATATCAATGAGACTGATATATTTCTTTAATGAATTTGTATTTTAACGTGATCATAACGAGAACATTGTTTTCTGATTGGGTTTGGGTTATGATTGCGCCTGAGTTGATAAAGATAAAAAGATGGAAGAAAACCTTAGTAAACTTAATTTAAACGTAGCAATGAGTAGCCTGTAATTTAGATTGTTTGGTTTTCCGATATCAACAACATTAAGCATTGAAACGTCTTACGATGACATGACGTCATTATAACAATCATGGAGCTGGCTAGTTTTTACCATACACAGCAGAAGAGACCATAGGAAACCCAATATCTCGAATATTGCGTTGATGGCACGGATTCAGTTTTGATTTTTTTAATTCCCAGCAACCTGGTTCTACAGAAATGACCTCTTTCGCAAATGCAACAGACAACAGCAGTATTTTTGTCCTCTATTCCAATGTGCAGGTCTATACAGTTCACGTGCTTAATTGGTCCTGATTGTGGTGATTACTGTCCACAAAAACCACTTCTTTGAGATAAATGATTGTATGCCAATTTGAAAAGATAAACACAAGCCTAGTCAGACTTAATGTTCTTGGACGGATAATATCACGATTGAAAATTACAGCAAAAGAACTTTTGACTTGCATAATTGTTTTGACAATACATCGATTTACGATGACTTTTACGTTCAAAATGAAAACTTTATACCACAAACAATTCAGCTTCAAACAACCACCATAATACCGGTCCTAACAAATCTCTGTTAAAGAATATGGAATTTAAATGATAACCTCTTAGATAATTAAGGGTATGTTGATGGTTCTTCTATTTATCTAAGACGAAAATTAGGCTTGCAAACAATTAGCGCTATACCACTAGTGACGTCAATGCCCCATTACACTCGTTTTATGATCGCTTTGCCAAAAATCGTTCGCATAATACACATACAAGCTTGTTTTTCGTGTTTGTTTTGAGAAAAGAGAAACTGGTGCTTTATGGATATAATCCCTAATCTAACTTATATCATGTACCGGGTGTAATTTGTGGTTTTTTGTAGTACAATCTTTGCTGTTTTTTATCATATGAATCTCAGAGGCATGAAGGCCTTTTCTTCATAGGCTGATTGGTCACAATCAAATCACTGATGTTGAGTTGGACGGAGGCCGGAATAAACATGATATACTATCAATCATTTAAAATGGATGTTGACATAATTTTCCTATGATTTTTGCAATTTGTCTTTAATTTGTAATTGAATTTCAACGTTGGGAATATGCAAATATGCTGGCACCTTCAATTCTGAACATAGGCCACCACATTCAACTAAACTACGAATGGTATTGGAAGGTTGAGGTACCCTAGGCCCGGTTGTAACCGAAATATCAGTCTCTGGGCGTAGTGTCTTACACAAATTTAGCCTTGAAAAAGAGTAGACACAGTATGGTATAGATTAAAACGACATGAAATAAATGTATGGTTTGATTCTATACATAACCATCGGAAGTGTATCTATATATATATAAACATTTTCGCTCGTAGAGGTTGAATTACATAAGGAACTAAATCCATTTCCGTGTAAGCTGATGTAATACTGCTGAAACAGAATTACCAGTTTGCCGCAACATTCGTTACAAGTGCCAAAAATGTTGAATGTATAAGTTTTACGAGATGCACTACTCTGAGTTGACTTCAGCATCATATAAATGTGTGTCTTGATATATTTTAAAGATCAAATGCTTGATATTCATGAAATATGTTTAAGCCATACACGTTGTTTTTTGTGTTTAAGAACGTATTTCACCTAACTAATGATGTTTGCTACTCCGACTCGTCTTAGCACAGCAAGGTTGCTTAAACAAAGAAAGGCTCATTAAGCTTTGTCAGACATCAAGCGAGATTGTACAGTGAAACATGTGTTATGTTTTGCAGATCACGTTGCACCAATGTATAGAAAATACCAGCCGGTTGATTTTTAGGAGCTTTGCCTTTACGCTGGACAGGCGTACGTTTGTTGGGAATTTTTAATGTGAAATCGTAACTGGCGGTAGACACAGCGCACTTTTCTAATCTCGCCGTATCTCGAAAAATCTCATTTGGTACTATATCAAAGATTGTTTGGTATCCTGATGCATACCATACACGCATAGACATTACGCACCTGTCCAATACGACTTTATACAACAATGTATACTGATAACGACGAGACCATTGACTCTTGAAATCGGTCTGTGCTATTATTATCTGAAAGATAAGAGTATAGAGACCAGCTGGATAACGTTGTACAAGAAAAATGTAAAACACTCATACGTACAAAATATGTATGTTTTTTCATTCATGTCGAGTTTAATCATTTTAAATCCATCCCACCTTATGGATATTATTTAGTTACATCTTAAAGGATAAGAGTTATGTAACAGATATTGAACTATGATACAGCAAAATACTACCATAGGCATAATGATATATGCGTTTTGTTTGTGCCAAGTGCATTTTTTATTCATGTTCCTGAAGCATCTCAACTCCTTAATGGA